TACGGCACGGATCAACCAGAGAACACCTATGCACGGCACCAAAGGAACAAAGAAAGCAAAGCAAGAGCACACTGTTTTTGCATGTTTGTGCAAAGCGTCATCGCGTGGATAACACCAGAAGCCTAGCTAGCCGAGTGCTTCTTGTTGCAGAAAAATCCAAGAGATGGCGCTCACCAACACAGCCACCTGATGTCACATAGGATGTATGATAAGCTCAGGGGAATGCACATACATGAAGGTGGCTCCAGAAGTCTGGGTAGTGATCACAAACCTATCAAGCTAAGTTTTGGAAGAGCAGTGAAAGTGGGAAGGAGACAAGATGAGCAACTACAGGAAAATTTTTATCCAGAAAGGCAAATTGAAATAGCCACTAAACAAATTGAGAAAGTAATCACTGAGGATAATAAAACAGTGTGGACATACACGAATCTAATTAGACTGTTTGAGCTAGAGCTTGCTAAGGCACGTGGCAAGTCACCCCGGAAAAGAAGACACAAGCCCAAAAGCTGGTGGGATGAGGAAGTTAAGAGAGCCATAGCAGAACGTCGGGAAGCCTCTAGGGAACACAGACATGCTAAGCAGCGGGGTGAACCGACAGATGATGTTGAAAGAAAATGGGAAATCTTTCTAAGCTGCAGAAGGGATGCATCCATTCTGATCAATGAAAAGATTAGAAGAAAGGGAGCTCAGTGACTGGCAGAAGTACATAAAAAAGATAGAAAGGCAGCTGCGAAATTTTGGAACCATATAAACTCTCTAAGAAATGAGACGAGCCTAGAGCAGAGGTTTATAACTACAGCTCAAGGTGCTAGGCTAGAAGGGGACGAAGCTATTGAATATATAAGAACAAGGGTGTCAGAAAAATTTCAACAAAGAAGTGCTTTATGCACCACAATAGACAAAGATGAATCAAGTGGCGCAATGGCTCCATTTTCACAATGAGAGTGGGAAAGGGCGGAGAAGAGGGTTTCTAGTAGTACATCAACAGGCCCAGATGGCATTCCAATTATGCTGATAAAGACATTAGGTCCGAAGTCTAAGCAGGCTTTGAGAGAGGCAGTGAACAAAATAATAATTGATGGAGAAGTTCCCAATGAATGGAAACTTAGCAGGATGAGCATGATCTATAAAGGAAAGGGGGACAAAGCTGACATAAACAACTACCGTTCTATAACAGTGACACCAGTGGTCTACAGGCTGGCGATGCATATTATAAAGGAAAGACTGCAGGCATGGATAGAGGATGAGGGGGGCTGGGGGAACTGCAGAATGGGTTTCGGAAACACAGGAGGTTGGAAGACAATCTGTTCTCACTGACGCAGTGCATCGAAATAGCAGAAAAGGAACACAGGCCCCTGTGCCTAGCATTTTTGGATATCAAGGGAGCGTACGATAGCGTGGTTCAAGAGGAATTGGGGCGAATACTGGACACACTAGGCGTGGAAGATGTAATCACTAATCTTTTAAAGGATATCTATAAAGGTAACAAGGTAATTATAAAGTGGGAAAAACAGGTATCCAAGCCTGCAGAAGTAAAACGGGGGCTTAGGCAGGGGTGTCCCCTGTCACCCTTATTATTCATGATGTACCTACAAGGATTAGAGGTCAAATTAGAGGGAAGTGGACCTGGCTTCAACCTCTCTTTCATCAAACAAGGAAAACTAATTGAACAGGCACTACCAGCATTGATGTGCGCAGATGATGTAGTGCTAATGGCCGACAACAAGGAAGATTTGCAGAGATTGTTGGACATCTGCGGTAATGAGGGAGATAGGTTAGATTTCAGATTCAGTAAGGAAAAATCAGCAGTCATCATTTTTAATGACAATGAAGGTAGTGAGTTTAGAATACAGGAGGTCACGCTAGAGATAACAGATAAATACAAATATCTGGGCGTATGGATAAGCAATGGGGCCGAGTACCTAAGGGAACACGAAACATACGTGACGACTAAAGGTAACAAGAATGCAGCGGTAATGAAAAACAGGGCACTGTGGAATTACAATAGGTATAATGTGAGAGGAATATGGAAAGGGGTCATGGTTCCTGGTCTGAAGTTTGGCAATGGGGTCTTGTGCATGAGATCAGAAGTTCAAGCAAGATTAGAAATTAAGCAACGTGGAATAGGTAGGCTTGCCTTAGGAGCTCACAGGAATACACCAAATCAGTGAGTACAATGTGATATGGGATGGACATCATTTGAGGGCAAAGAAGCTAGCAGCAAGGTAAAATTTGTGAAGCGATTGAGAGAAATGGGGGAGGAACATTGGGCTAGGAAGGCATTCAGCTACTTGTGCATGAAGAATGTCGATACAAAATGGAGAAAGCGAACCAGAAAATTTATTGTTAAATACTTGGAAAGCAGCAGGGGGCCAAACCAAAAAAAATTATCGGTTAAGAAGAAGGTGAAGGAAGCGGAGACCGATGTGTGGAGAATTGGCATGATTAAGAAGTCTGCACTAGAGATCTATTGAACTTTGCAGCAGGAAATTGCCAAGGAAAGGACCTATGATAATACTGGGGTAGTTCTCTAGTGTTTGAGGCGAGTGTGAGAGTATTGTGAACCAAGACTTATCGGGCCACATACGAAGGGGTAGTAGACACGGTATGCAGTGCGTGTGGAGAGGAAGAAGAAACTGCCGAACACTTGATAATGTTCTGTAAAGGGCTTCATCCTATAGTTCAGGATGATGACGCAGAGTTTTTCAAAGCACTAGGGTTTAGGGACAGGGAGGGCAAAATAGACGTTAAGCGGGTAGAAATAACTAGAAGGAGGTTATCTGATTGGTGGCTAAAGTCAAGGCACGAGTGAAAATTAAACCCTTCACTGCAAAGTACTAATCCCCAACCTCACTATATAAAGAAAAAAAAATAAATCTAGTTTTTGGTTCATTAAGTATGACGGCTTGGTGGCGCTAGCCACCGCCCGATCTAAATGGTACAGCCATATTCATCCATCCATCCAGCCATCATCATCAACACAAAGAAGCGAGGCGTGTTTCGATCTCTGGGGCTTGCTGTTCTATCGGGACGCCCAGTGGGGGACGACATGCCACGGCGAGTGCGCAACGAAAATTGGAAAAACTACTTATTAACCGATACATACGCAATAAGCTGGTACGGCTTATGCAGATACAAAATGCATTATGTTCAATGGCCGTTGAGTCGGGGATTCGACTTCACTACTTTTAAAACGAAACTACTCTTTACGCGGGTACGGTTTAACGAGGTTTCACTGTATAGACACAATGGTCGCTCAATATAGCATGACATTTGCACACATAAGATGCACCTTTGTATGAGATGCACAGTGAAAATTTAAGAAAAGGAAGTGTGTCTTATACACCAGGAATTATGGTTCTTAAATTTCGATCATTGAAATTTGTTATATTACTGTTTAACTGTATTGGGAGAGGGGGGCCTGTACCGAAACATTTCATTACCAATCGCACCCGTATCACATTATACTACAATAAAATCTTGTTAATTTGACCCTGGTTAATTCAGAAAATTGGACAATTCAGACATGTTCTCCAGTCTCGGCCAGCATATGCATAATTTGAAGGGATACTGAACAAAATTCTTGCGGTGAAGGTTTTCAACGAAATTGATTGATTTGGTTTTGGAAACTATAGAGACAAGCTTTATTCAAAGCAGAAGCTACAGGAAAATAATGAATTTAATGCATTTTTCATAAACTGTTGCGTGTAGCGGGCACGCCGTGAAGTACAGGAGGTGACGTTTGGATACGTCAAACGCGCTTAAGACGGGCAAGCCAACAATACCTGCTGTCGCTTCCATCTCTCGACTCGCTCATCTGCCCCTGTGGTTCCCAGAAACGGTATGAACAGCACCAGTTGCCAACAATGTTCCCGGCTGAGGCAAAGCATCAGCGCCGTTCTGGAAGGGGGACTGGAATTAAAGGAGAGGTGGAGAAAAGAAAGAGGACGGGAACTCGTGCACCCTGTCTGTGCCTCGGTGAACGTGACGTCACGACTCCCGCTCACGTGCGGCTGCTGCGCGCTTACAAATCATTAAACATACAGCCAACTGTTCAAAAATATAGGAGGTTAACACTGTTTATCAGAACTGTTGCTTATTCCGAGTAGAATTTCGAAGTTTCATCAGTTTTTTCAATTTTTGTTCAGTATTCCTTTTATGGTGCCAATCTGTGGTTAATTTGGTCAGATTTGGCTGCAAATCATTTATTTCAGGCAATTATCAGACCACACCTGACATGAAGTGCCGCGAATGTGCGATGCAATAAAGCAAAAGCAGTGTACATAGACATCCAAAACGAGGCAGTGTTGGTTGGTATTCCATTTCGAGAGTGATTACAGCACAAAGGGAAGATATGGGACAATGAGAAAAATGAAGTCAGTGCTTGTCTTCATTGGCGTTGTTGTCCCGTATATTCCCCTTGCATTAATCACTCTCAAAATGGAATACCAACTAGCCCATACCCACACTTTGAGGCAGTGGTGTTTGCATCGCTATTCAATCGACCTCAGTTTTCTCCACATGTGGATTCGGCACTGAGGAGCTTCGTTACAACTTGATGCAATGCACGTGCAGTATCACAAAACTCGAAAACGTGGTGGAAGCTGTTGAAGAGCTTTCAGCTGCTGTCGGCATGCCGGTATAAAACTCGCGTGCTACGCCATGATGCCCAAACTATTTGTTACCAGCTATTTTATCTGTGAAAGAACTGTCATCATGTGCGCATGGTGGTGGTGGTGGCAGTATGCAATAAGGGAAAGTTGGAAATACGGCAGTCTGGTGAGGTAGTCATATCGAGAATGAAATCGCAGCAGTATGGCAATGAGGCTCTAACACTACTCATATGCAAAATAATTACAGGATTTACATATTCATCAAATGAAATTGTACCGATTTAAAAAACATTTATTTTTGATCTTTTTGATACTTTTGATAATTTGCTTGTGTTTAATTGATACATTTTTTTGGGCCCGTGAAATCTGAAATAATGAGCATTGCAGGGAGACTGGTACGGCCAGCCAAGTGGTTCTGCAGCTGTCCATCTTGGTCGAAGTGGGCCGTCGACTCGGGGGCAGGAGACGTCGGCTGCTCTGTGACCTGGGGCAGCCCCTAATGCGTACCCTGCTGCGTCTTTGCACTTGGAACTCTTTGCAGATCAAGGTAAGCCTTGTGAACATTACTAGTTCATTTACGCATCACTATCAATGAACAGACAATTTACTTTTGCCATGTCTAGGCATTGCATTATTGTCGTTCAGCCTGATACGGCAGAAATGGTTGTCAACGGGTCCATTGTTACATTTAACACACTACCAAAATGTTCAGATAACATGTTGGTTAAAAAAAAAGGAAGAAAAATTGTTGGCCTGTGCAGACACAGGGAAGTACAGTCACAATGAAAGCTGAAAGAGCGGCCTTTCTAAATTTTGTTGTAAACTCTTTTGGGGCTCCATTTAACCATATGGTGTAGTAGCGCAATTTTCACGGGGACGAAGAGGACAAGAACACACGACACTCGCTACACTCGCAACTAATTTTATTTCAGAAGCAGCACTTCATATATAACCCATAACCCTAGCGACACAGAAAAGAACTACGAACATTGAATCATTGCCAACAGAAGCTTTTGCGCAGACTCAAGCGATAAGACTCAAGCGCAGACTCAAGCGACTTTTGGGGCTGCTATGAGTGCACTTGCAAGGTACCTTCAATTAAGAACAGTAAACATAGCGTGCTAGAGGAAGAGGAAAACGAGAGATGGTGCATGGCACGAGAAGCTGGGTTCTTTTCGACTGGAATAAGTGGCAACATTGAGACGCACTGCTCAAACTTCTTCAGGAGTGTTGTTTTAAACTCTGTTCATCTAAAATTAAGTCTGTGAATTTTTCATTCTCTGCGCCATAAATCACCATAATGTTTGCCAAGTAAGGAAGCTTCCTCTGTGCTATTATTCATAATTTTTCGGAGAAGCGAGCTACCCGCTACACATCCGTAAGGCATTACACTCAAACCGCTATAAAGCATACCACCAACCTATAACGACCCCAGATATACAATCTGTGGGTTATGACGACCATATTTCGGTGCACTCAAGATTTTCTTATGCTACTTTTTGAAACAGTCCACAAACAGCGAACATTTTTCAATGTCTCCTACTTTTACAACATACACTTCTTAACACCGTCACGGTAAAAATATGGTGTATACGAAGCGAAAAAAAAAAAATTTGAACAGACAGTTTAAAGCATGTGATAGGCATGCGCTCATGGGTTCCCCGCTTCATTTTACTTGTGACGAAGATATCATGGATTGCGGTGAGCACCGCGCGCACATTTCGGGTGCTGCGAGCCAGTTCGCTCACTTTCCAGGCGTTTCTTCACCGACAGAACGGAAGTGAGGGGGGAAAAAAAAGAAATAGGAGGCATTATGAAATCTCGCAGTCAGCTTTTGCACAGAAAATTTTGCTGACGCCGTCCTTAACATTTACGACCACCAAGGATTAACCAACAATGCCTTCAAATGCAAGAAGCCATAACTTTGAGAAGCGATAACTTTTTATTGCATAAATGTTTGCTGTGACGCTAAGCTAAACGACACCATAATGTGCCACAGGAGGTTTTCCGCCTTTCCGTTACAGGGGAGACCAGTCTATTAGTGATAACAACTTCCGCGCAGTTGCGGTTGTGCCTTAACAGATAAGCATCAGAAAGGAGCCATGACGAGGTGATCGGTGGTGATGAGCGGGCCGTTTTGACTCATCGCTGGCAACCTTATCACAGTCATCTGCAGATATCTGCTCGGCGGAGTGAGGGTGGTACAAGCGCATAATGCCGCCGTTAGCAAGTTTGCCGCCGCCGTGTCGTGTGAGCCGGCTTGCGTACGTTGCTTACGAAATTCATCTTCATTGTGGTAGACGAATAGGCTGCTCGCCGCAACCAAGCGCGCTCCTGAGTGAAGCATGCGCAAAGGACGCTCCAACGCACTAATGCATTGGGATGCAAACAACATGGCATGCGACAGCAAGATCCGAGTAACAGAGTAATGTGGTGGAAGCATTAAATAAACCACTTGTTGCACAATTCACATTGTGTAATGCTTAGTTGTTATATTAATTTTCTGCCATGCCTTATTACATCAATAAGTTTTATTTCCAACAGTAGCTGTTGGGGATCATCCTGGTGAAAGTGGCGAAAATGCAGCTTGAATGTGTCTAGGGGCCCATATGCAAGGTAGTGTTGACATACATTTTTGTCTACATAACAAACAAATTAATAACACAGAATTACTGATGAAGGTAAAACAATCACACTAAACATTTGAAAACAGAAAGGTAATTTGGCTAATAATAAAGACGTCGTGCAAGTATTTAAAAGATTTCACACTACAAAATTAATTAACTGTTTAGTTCTGTTTATAGTTATGTTTAGTGAAGTTCAGAGTTATACATGCGGCTGACCTTCGCAAATACCATATTTACTCGCATAATGAATCCACTTTTTTTCTTTTCCAGAAAAGTTGATGTCAATTTGGGGTAGGGTTTATTACGCAGGAGAAAAAGACGCGCGAGGTACAACGACAAAATTTGGTATGACAGTATTAAGGAACTCGCTGTTCAACTGTTGCTGGCCTTCAATTAAGTGACAGGACCATAAATCCTCTATTCGAGAACTTTGCTTTCTACAAGGGGAAACTCCTTGTTTTGGCCCATGAAACACGTGACGATCCTTTTTTTTTTTTGTAGCCCAAAACTTTTTTTGTTTATCTCCAGTAACAAAAGTGCACATCCACCTGCTCGGTTTCTATGCTCCAGCACGTGCTCAGCCAACATTAAGACCGGCCATGTAGCTAGCATACCAGCAGATTGCGCCCGGCGTAGCACGAAGTTCACTTCAACAAACCCGATAACAAAAACGCATGTGGGATGGCGGGCACATAAACGTTGGGGGGAGCACATCGTGTTGTCATTGCAGTGGGCGCAGTTGCCCTTTGGTGCTTTGTTTGTGCTATCAGCGAAGAGGTTTCCTCTGCGTTCGCCAGATGATGCTGTGCTGCAAAAGACGAGACATTTAGATATTGGTTGACGTCGTCTGTACTCGCGCAGCTTGCATCTGTTTAGCATGATTGTTAAACTATATTTGGCTTTTAATACGTTGTTATTTGGTTCTACATTGGTGTTATTAAACGTTGGTTTGATCGTCAACGGCATTGGCCAACTATCACACCAAAATAAAACGAACAGATACATTAAAGAATAGATATTTTTGTCAAGGACCAAAGGGGGGTTGGGTTCCATACAGGAGTAAATACAATAATTTTTTGTAAAATAAACTTTCTCCGATTTCAAACAACTGCTCGCTAGTGCATACCTGGGGTAAATTTCAGGCAATGATTACGGCTTAAAGGGGTCATGACATGGCCACCCAACAATTGACGGTTTTTGTCCAAAAACAAGGGTAGAGGGTCAAATGTGCTTGTACTTGTGTGGTGTGAAAACTGGACTGGTATTTTAGTCCAAAAGGAGCCATACAAGTTGTTGGCTTTAAACTTTGTCCACAGCCGGCAACTGCCATTTTACCATGATGTGTGTGACATTACGAGCCGTTAGGAGCAGGTCCTTCGTCTGGTATCAAACAGCACTTACTGCACGTGGTCAGTGCTTTCCTTGTGTCTGGAGTGTTGCTTGCCTTGTGATCCACGCGTGCTAGTGGGGTCCGGTGTGTTACCAGTAGCATCGCCATGTTGTCAGCCCCATCATCACCTTATGATTCGGGTAGCACATGGTTCATCAAGCAGCAGAAGCGGCGACGATGTCGTGTACGCTGCGCATTTTGACTTCAACCCTATCGCCACCAGCTCAAGCGGTAAAGAAAGTGTCAAAGATGGAGCGAACCCAAATGCCAACGGCCTAGGCTTGCAAAGGGTCTTCCGCAATGATAAGTAGCATTATTTCAAGCGTGTCAGGTTGACAAGCGAGGTTGGAGTATAGTGTCTGTCGACGCTGCATTCGTGAGCATGTGTTACTTTGTGCAGTGGAATTGGTAAAGCGTGCAGATTTTTGTTTGCTAGCATACATGCATGCACGACTTTCGGTGATGAACATAATAAATAAGAGGTCGTAACAATCCTGTGCATTGGGACCATTGTTTTTTCATTGGTTGTTGCATGCAGCATATGTAAATAGCCGAACCGAACGGCTTGACAGTGTCGCACTAGGGTTACTCACAATATACATTCTGGCCGAATCTTTGCTTAAACCTTGTCGATAGTATTCGGTTCCGGTAAAACATAGCAAGTGCGACACGTAATCTTGGCACTGCCTGCAAAGAGTTTCAATAAATGTCCTATTTACTTGCGTAATGAAACCACTCGCATAATGAACACCCCCCCCCCGCCTTAGTCCTTGAAAAATGAAAAAGCTTTTTTTCAATGTATCTGTTCATTTTGATTTGGAGTGATAGGCAGTGCCATTGACGATCGAAACAATGTTAAATCAAGCCCATATATCACAATATACCAATGCAATAAAAGTCAGAACATAGTATTGCAACCGTGCTAAACAGTTGCGAGCAGCGTGAGCGCGGACGACGTCAACAAAAATTTGAGTCATACCTTTTACGGCAAAGCGCCATCTGTCAAATACTGGAGAAACCTCTTTGCTTATAGCGCCACGCAAGCACAGCGGCACAAAAACAAAGCGCGTGGCCTTCAGAATGGCGTGCACGCGGTGTAGGAACACGCCGCTCACTCGCCATCTCAGAGGCTATGGAAAGCTCAACCGCAACCACCGTGCCGACGGCGCGTTGTGCACCCGCAAATGTCTACCTCGATGTTTGGGCAACGCCATCCGAAGGTGCGTTTTTGTTGTCGGGTTTGCTGTTGTGAACTTAGTTGGGACACCTGCTTTGCAGGGTACGTTCGGACGGTACGTTATCTGCACGGCTACTTACAAAAAGCATGCCCGGGAGCATTAGAGCCGAGCGGATGGACGACACTCCAGCCTCGATCCGTGCACTTTCGTTATGGGACGAAAGAAAGAAAGCTTCAAGCTACAAAAAAAGATTTGTTGCATACTTTACGGGCCAAAACAAGCAAAGCCGCATGCGAAATTTTTGCTGTTATAACTGATGTGACTTTCTTTTCTCTCGTAATGAACCTTCCCC